AAAAAAAAAAAAAGCATTTATTAGAAATAGAAATCTATTTAAATTTTTTTTTAAATGTGTCCTTATTGAATACGTATTTATTTATAAAAAAAATTAAAAAACTATAAAATGCAGGTAAAAATGTATCATTTGTATCCTTTTAATATGCATACATTTGTATAGGAAATATTTCAAACTAATATATAAAGTTATATTTTATATATATATATATATGTATGTGTGTGTGTTTACATCAATACGTAGTAGTTTAGATTTTTTTTATCTAGTTAATTTTCTTTTTCTTTAGCCAAAGAGATGCATAAAACTCCATGTTTCATTGAGAAACTCCAGAACACAAGTGTCGCTGAGGGGCACCCAGTGCGTCTAGAGTGCCGTGTGTCTGGAGTCCCGTTCCCACAGATCTTCTGGAAGAAAGAGAACGAGTCCTTCACTCATAACACCGACAGGATAAGGTACTGTAGGAGACCTTGGGCAAATCAAAGCCCTCCTACAGCCATTCCAAACTACAGTTTAGCCAAAGAACTACTTTTATTTTATGGTATATTATATTTTATCAAGTTAAACACTATACGTAGTAGTTTAGATTTTTTTTATCTTGTTAATTTTCTTTTTCTTTAGCCAAAGAGATGCATAAAACTCCATGTTTCATTGAGAAACTCCAGAACACAAGTGTCGCTGAGGGGCACCCAGTGCGTCTAGAGTGCCGTGTGTCTGGAGTCCCGTTCCCACAGATCTTCTGGAAGAAAGAGAACGAGTCCTTCACTCATAACACCGACAGGATAAGGTACTGTAGGAGACCTTGGGCAAATCAAAGCCCTCCTACAGCCATTCCAAACTACAGTTTAGCCAAAGAACTACTTTTATTTTATGGTATATTATATTTTATCAAGTTAAACACTGTTGCATTTAAAAACTCAATGTGCACTACTAGCCTGTATATGGCAGCTGTTAGAAGGCTGGTATTTAAAGTGCCTATGTGTGTGTGTGTGTGTATGTATACTGATGAAAAGACCCTTGCAAAAGAAACACATACACACACAGTAACCTCACCACAGGCGCTACTGTCTACGCCACCTCAGAGAGACGAGAGCAGTTACTCACAAGTTGTAAAGTCTCCAGTCATTGATTTGAATCCTTATGAGCAAACCGTGTCCACAAACAAAGTAATATGGCTGTGCAGCCTAAATAAACAATCCTGGCATCTCTTAAAATCCTTTGTTGCTACTTACTCATTCTGATGTTCAATTCTATTTCCCAGCATGCACCAGGACAACTTTGGTTACCTCTGTATGATCATCCAGCCGACTCTGAAGGAAGACGCAGGCTGGTACACAGTTTCAGCTAAGAACGAAGCTGGCATCATCTCCAGTACAGCACGTCTCGACGTACACGGTTAGTCAAACACACAGCGAAAACGGATCTTAGGAATGCATGCAGCAATGTTGAGTTATGATTGGTAAAAGACCAAAGTACACTAAATACAGACTAAGCAGTTTAAGTGGTTTATCTGATCAGTGCGCTTTCATAATTAATGAAATATTTCCAATAAAAGCACCCTCCCTTCCTCCGCCCTATGTTGTTCCCATAGCGATCCCATCAGCCAGTGCTGTGTTTGCCATCAACAACAGGGTTAACAATACTGTTGATACATTACCTAAGGTTAAAGCAACAATGGACTGGCAGCCTGTGTACTGGAGTCGTATGAATGTAGTTTTAATCTCTGTCATAAAATGTTTAAAACTCAACACATCCAGTCTGGAATGAATCGAAACTAGAGTTTGCTCAACGCTAATATTTTTGGCTTTTGGTACAATATCAGCTTTGATACCCCAATATTGATATTAAATTGATTTACCAATATAAAAACTCTGGCTGATACCAACAAGTCAATGATTATGTAATAAAAGCTATACATTTTTAAAAGATCCATACTGTTGTCTTAAAATATATTAAAAATAAAACACTAAAAGCTAAAATTAGTTTTAATGCTACAAAGGGAATTTAGGCATCATGGTATCATGATGTTTAGTATGAAAAGAAATCATTCATTTTGAATTTGTTAAAGATTACGTGTAACAGTGTTATTAAATGAATAGTGTTTTAAATATTACATTTAAAAGAGCTGATGGCAAATGAAGATGCCAAAGGTAAACTAAATGTAAAATCTAAATGTAAAAATACAAATGTAAGGTAACTGTATTTTAAGGTGTCCTTGTTACAATGTAATTTAATTATACATTTAAGTACTGAGTAATATTAATTAACTACATGTACTTACTATATGTTTAAGAGTAGGGTTTGACTTAGGGTTGCTTGCATGTAGTTATGCATAATTTATTGCTATTATAATGGAATTATCTGAATTCACTTTTTTTTTCTTTTTTCTTTTATATATGTGTGTATGTGTATATATATATATATATATATGTAGTCAACATTTGAAGTGGATCAAAAAAGTTCATCAAAGTTGTCCTTAGACAAGAAAACATTTTGGTTTTAGGACAACTTTGATGAAAGGTTTTGATCCACTTCAAATGTTGACTAATATACATATAATTGAGGAACTACAGTCATTATCTAGACATCGATATTACATCCTGTAAATTCTTTAAAGTGAGAAACCATGTTCATCCTCGCCCTTTCCTTCCCTCAGCCCAGTGGCAGCAGACTCACATCCCGAAGCCCAAGAAGGTGCGTCCATCAGCGAGCCGCTACGCCGCTCTGACAGAACGGGGTTTGGATGTGAAGGCAGCCTTCTTCCCAGACTCCAATCCTCTTCCTCCCGGCACCCTAGTGGAGAGTGACGACCTGTAGAGACTAGCATGGAGGATCTGACCTTCGAACCCCAATCCCTTGATCCAGCGTACTCCATAATCCCCACCCATTTCCCAACAAAACCCTCTTGGCTGGGGTTGGATGAAAAAGGGATCGATTGACTTTGAATGGCGATCTAAGCATTTCCTCAGAGATTTGGATTCTTGGTATAATCACTTCTTCTCCGGAGGACCATTTGCTTTACTTTTATTTCAGTTGTTTTCTGAGGGGAAGTGATGTGGGTGCTTAAGTGAGGTCATATCCTGCTTGTAAACAGACTTGATGGTTCGCTGGCGCACTTAACACACACACACACACACACACACACACCCCCCAGCACGTGCTTTGAGGAAGGAGGTAATATACCGATGATCACCTTATTTTTCATCTCTAGATTTCACGAGTGCCTAAGAAATATTTCATTTAAAAATATATATATATATTAAAAAAATCTATTCAAATAACTAGCATCTAGCTGTGCATGTTACTACGGTGCCAACATGTAACACTTTTTATGTATGTAGTTATAATGCCTTAGATTATATTTATGAAACGCTGGAGGAAATGTCTTCCTCTCCAGCACAGGAAATAGGACTTTTTTTGGGTGGTTGGTTCTCTGGATGTAGGGAACAGGGCTGTGGAAAGATGGACACCCCTAAAACTCCATAGACCTCATCGTCCCTGGAGCTTCAGGGTCCTTGAGATCCAGCATATTGATCAAACGCACACTGCCATAGATAGATGCCGCGTCTGGATCTCGGCTCCAATCCAGAGATGTCGCACAAGGCCGGGCCTTAATGATCTTTTCCCACCCTGTCTTTTTTTAGGAGAGATTAAAAGCGGAGACTGATATGTCATTAACATGAGTGATGAGATTTTTGTACGTTTTGGCTGACTGACAGGTTTGGACAGTTTGTTGTGTTTCCATGGAAGCGAGAGTAATGAGGAATGCCTATGATGGAAGTACAGGAAACCGAATTGACGCATGCATGTTTGTGGAGGATGGGCTGATTGTGGAAGGCGGCGAGATTTATACGAGTATTATGGATTTTAACAATGATGGTGCATGGAATGATGAGATGGTAATGCTTTGACAGGTAGGCTTCAGTTTTCAGGTTTGGAATTACAGAAACGTGCAAAAATGCGATACTGTTTTTATAAATTATATTTCATTGGCTTTTTAAGTAACTCAAACATATTCCTTCTTCGTAACGCATTCGTAATGATATTAGCTTTGATCAGTCGAGTATCAAATACTCAGTTCAAATAGTTTAGCCATCATCTCACACACATTTGCAACGTATATACAAAACAATATAGCATAACAATATACACATGTAAGCCTGTGATTTGCATATGTTTTTTTTTTTCTTGCACAGCTGTTTATCCTACAAATAGACAGATTTTAGGAAGTTCTTACTTTGCAATATTTTCTGTTTTCCAAGCCAACCTGTGCCTGTATACGGACTGTTCTCCTTATTCTCTTCTGGTTTATGAATAGTACAATAAATAAACGTCTCTGAAATTGAGTCTGGGGTTGAGTCCAGTTGCTCTTGGCAAAAACATCTCTCAGAGCTGACTTAGTTTTCTTGGTAATCTGTATTTTTATGATGGTGAAAAGGCCAGGATTTCATACATTTTCATTTTAATTATTTTTATATGCGATAGGGGTTCTGTAAGTGTAATGCAGCACAGCTTATTTAAATGCTGAAATGACATCACAAAGCGAGTCATATCCTCCACATGTTGACCTGTGGCCTGTGTTATCCCAAGTATGGAACATGAGCCATAACCCAAAAACTCCAGTGAACTAAAAATAACCTTAATCCAATCCAGCTCTTACACAATGATATGTGTGACTCCACAGAGCGATGAGGAGGTGATTAACAATATCAAGATTTGACGCAGTCTGTAAACAGTTATTGTACATTATCAGCATAACAAAAATATGCAGTTGGCTCGCATGCTTTGCTAGCAGAAATCATCACAGTGCCAGCTGTAATCCTCCATCCACAAGCAGACGCTGTCCTGTGATATAAGGAGACTCCAGGAGGAAAAGGACAGCGTGGGCCACCTCTGCAGGTTCCCCAAAATGGCCCTGTGGAATTCTTCTCACCGCGTCTTCCTTCTCCAGTCCTGCCGTCATGTCCGTCCGAATGAATCCTGAGAGGGGAGGGTGAAAAGAATTTTCAGCGTTACTCAGATGACTGCTGATATCCAGATTAAAAGGCAAAAGAAGTAATCGAAGAAAAAGAGAGAACAAAACCTGGAGCCACCGAGTTCACTCGTATATTCCGGGTAGCAACTTCCTTCGCCAGTGAGCGTGTGAATCCTTCCAGTCCGGCTTTACTGGCACTGTACACACACTGACCAGAGTTACCCTTCACACAGAGCCTGAGGAAACACATGATTAAACCTACTGTATAAATCCTACTGTATCATATTTGATACACAAATTTCTAAAGCCTAAATTAACAACATGATCAACACTTTGATGGAAAACCTGTTGTACACAATCTACTACAATCCTTCTGTCATCTGATTGATAGTTGTTTCTTTTTTTTAATAAAGTAAAAGCCCTTTTAGAGTAATTCTAAAAATGTCCCTCTTCAATGTCTTTTTGAAAACTTAAATTATTTTTAAGAAGTAAATGTAAGAATAAATTATTTTATTGTTATACTATATTGTTAGAAATATTTAAAGATAAACACAGATTGGACTGAAGCAACTTTTAGATTATCCATTCTTTATTTAGGGGGGAAAAAATGTGAGTATTAAATATGATACATCAGGCTTTTGAGGAATGTTTATTTGTCCATCTCTCGGTCATCACTGTATTACATTCCATTATATGATTTATATATAATGAGATTCATGAGCTGAATAAATAAGCATTCCATTGATATATGGTTTGTTATGATAGGGCAATATATGGCTGAGATACAACTATTTGAAAATCTGGAATCTGAGGGTGCAAAAAAATCTAAATATTGAGAAAATCGCCTTTAAAGTTATCCAAATGAAGTTCTTAGCAATGCATATTACCATACTAAACAAAAATTTAGTTTTATCCTAATGATTTTTGGAATAAAAGATAAATCTATAATTTTGACCCATACAATGTATTTTTGGCTATTTCTACAAATATACCTGTGCTACTTATGACTGGTTTTGTGGTCCAGGGTCACATATGTTGTATATTTACATTCTAAGAATTCTATGCTATATCAGAATTATATCTTTTATTTTTTTTGCCATATACAGTAATTATCAGCAAGTGCACCAAATGGCATATTTTGCTCAGTTTGGGCCTCTTAATAAAATTAAAATGTGTTTTTCCTCCTCGAGTACAAGCTCCATATTATCCAGTATTATAATATACATATCATAATATGAGCAATAAAAGCTTGACATATCAAATATGTCAGACTCGACAAAAAACACACATGCAAACTTAACTAAAGCTTAATTTTACAAGTGTAAGAGAACTACATTATGATGCAGACAAAGACAGAGAAACGATTTAAAATCTGAAGCTTCTGCGCCATCTAGTGGTGATTAAATGAACCCAAACTGCCCAGCTGCTAATGCAAGGAGACTTTTCTCCAGCTTGAACTTCGTGACACTGAATTGAAATAATATACAAGAAGATCACAAGGTAGTGGGACACACAGAAATGAGAGGCACCTATGTTGACAATAGCTCCTCCGTGACTGAGCATGCTCCGTAGAGCGCCTGTGCAGGTCAGCATTGAGCCCAGCAGGTTGGTGTGAAGAACAGAGCATGTCTTCAGATTTACTCCTCAATAACAATGTATCTCTTTAAGATAAACACACATTCAATATATATTAGAATGCAGCTGTTTTTTATTTATAATATCAAAATCTGCAGTTTTTATTATCATCTTTTTTGGCCATGGTATCTGATATATTTATTCAGTATCACATTTTCTGCATCACTGCCTGACCTGTTGATGCCAGCTGCGTTAACCAGGTATCCCACAGTGCCACAGGTCTTACTGTTGGTCTCAAATGCTCTCTGAACGTCTTCTTCTTTAGAGACATCACAGCTTAGACCCAAATGTTTTTCTGAAATTAAATATATACTCCAGAATTATAACATCTCTTTTAACACAATTTAAGATTAAGACTTTTTAATTGCATTCATTACCCAACCTGGTAACAAAATGTTTTTCTTTGTGCTGTTGGATAGATAAATACTATATACAAAACTCCAATTTAGGTAAAAAATGTGTTTAGGTAAAAAAAGTGTTAGACTTTTCATCAGCGAACCAATGCAAAGTAATTCCGACTGATTCATGGTTATTCACTGATTCACCTCCAGGGAGAGATTCAGCCATAACTTGTGCAGCCTCCTTATTCCTAGACAATAGCACAACCTTATGACCCCTCTGTGCTAACAGCTGAGAAACTGCTCGCCCAATGCCACGCGAACCCCGAACACTACAGCATCTGGACATCACGACCCTAAAAGAGAAAACCCCCCAGCACAGAATGAACACTGCAGGCCAGCAATCAGATATTGAATGAGTAAAGGTGAAAGTACAACTGAAAATAGTACCTGTATCTTTAGGAAAAAAGTAGTGCTGCTTACAATGCATTTTTGATTGACATTTGATTATTGCTGTGCCAAGAAATGTTATAATGTATAGTACCTTGGAGTGCCATGTAAATATGTGTAAATATGTATATTAATATGATAACCATTGTGCACTACTACTGTATTATTATCTAGAACTATCACTTATAAAAGGTCATAATGTAATAGTTTTTGGACATGTAGTTTGTAACTACCGAGGTATTCTGAAAGGTAATTCTTAGATGTGCCACATTACTGTTGGTAATATCTGACATTAAAGTTATTAATACAGCAAACTGTGGAGCAGAAATTATGTAATGTTCACTCAAATTTACAGTTGCCACTTACAATGAGCAACATCCCTTAGAGATCCTTTGACACTGCACAATTATAGTTGGTCTAACAGCACAGGATTTAGGGTTTTAGACGACAAGATATCGAACTCACGGTAAATATCGGTAATATCATCTACCGTTCGTTGTCGCTAAATGTGAACTTGTGGTATAGATGGAACGGGTGCCGCCATGTTGAGTGAACTGCGCGTGGTGCCCGATAGGTGGAGCCAAACGCATCGGTAAATTAATATGGACTCAAAGACATATTGGAGAGAAATAATAGCAATATATCTCGAAAAGGAAAATCGAGGCAGCGGACTAACGCATTTTAATGTATTTATTTACTAAATGTATTGTCCGAGTACTAACGCATTTTCATGTATTTATTAGCCTGACTCTAACAGCTACACATGCACATCACTTTATTCCTTGGAACCAGAATGCAGCAAAATACTTTTATAGAAAAAAAAACCTTGCTTCTGAACAACAGAGGCTGTAATGATAAAATAGTAAGTTTACAAAATCTCAAAACATGGACAAATAAGACAAATTTGTAAAATATGAAAATTATTCAAATTAAAAAAATAATTAACTAATAAATAAATCATTTGAAAATATATGGAATAAAATAATGATCATTATTATTATTAATATAAATAATACATATAGAAATAAATATCAGTAATAAATTATATACATAATATATATTTTTAATTTAAATGTTTTTTTGGGGTACTTTAAAAAAAAAAAAAAAAACACGCATACAAAAAAATGCTTTGTACTTCACAAATGCAGTGCCAGAATCCGTTAATCCTTTCGTCTTTTCATTTTCAAAAGCTCTTCAGTAGGAAAGCGGATACTGGCCAAAGATTCTCTGTAGTGGCTCCATGAGTGTACCAACCGGTGACGGTTGCTAGGGGGGAATTTTGCACCAAACATTGACAGACAAACTTAACGGCTGTGGATATTGACTGACATGTTTTTCACCCTATCACCTGAGACTCGACAAGAAGGCGGACCAATCAAATCGCTCCTCTCAGTCAGCGTGTGCAGTCTTCCCACATGAGACCGCCCACATCAGAAAATCTTCATGTGAGCTTCACTGATGCTGCCAATGTTCGCTGATTATTCTGAATATAGAAGGTAAGAACTGATTGTATTTGCAAAATAATGCAATATATCGCAGAATTCTGCTTTAAAGTGCATGTCAGTGTCATTTCGCGGGATGCCAATAAGACTGGTAATTTCTTTTCGCGGTGTTATCATTAGTTTGGGCAGACCCGTTCAAGGCCCCACTAAATTAGACACCAGCTGATGCTTTTCAAACTTTGCAACGCAATGTTCATGTGATGATGCTTTTATCCGTATAACATAAAGCAGCGTAACAAATCTTGTTTGTAAAGAACTAATGTTGTAGATGTCAGAGCGTGTAAGTCAATCCATGGTCTGTAATGTAGAGCTTGTAAGTTTCTATGTATTGTCAGTTTTGTGATTCAGTATTATTGGACAACATAGCTTTCATCAGATTGCTAGTCTAATTTATTGCTGTCTTAAGGTCCCTCTCTCCATCTCTGATTCTTTCTTTTAACCTCTCTCCTTTTGTACCCCTCTTACCTCTTTTAAAGAGTGGTGGGTAATTCCTCCTGACATGTCATATTTAATTCATAAGCTCTTGTACACTGTCTGGCTTTTGCTTTTAGTTTGGCTCAGTTTTTGCATTCGTCCAAGGCTCTATTGCTTTTAGGCTTAATTTGCTTTTATTTTAGAATCCTACTAGTTTGTCTAAAAATGCATGTCTATGTTTGCCTCATCTAGGCCAGGTGGCAGTTATTTATTTATTTAGTCATTTATTAGTTATAGTGATTCCCAGCATGCAGCTGGATTCTGTGTGGAAAAATATTAACCTTTCACTCATCAGGAGGTGCTCCGCTCGAGTCGGTTTAATAATTCCTGCTGGCATTGTGAATAGATGACAGCTGACTGTGACTTTTAAAATGCCACACCTATAAAGGAATATGCCATTTGGTTGCTCCAGTGCCCATCAGACAATAGACTTAAAAAAATGTATGTCTATTAAGTGTATATCTATATAACGTACCTATATCTAGACTACATATCTAGAAAGAGTGAGAGATAATATTATTTTTTTGCTATAACTTTACAAAAATCCTAGTATTGTTTTACAGGTGATCATATTTTTATGTACTTTGTTCCCTGTGCCTCAGCATTAAAAAATGTATGTCTATTAAGTGTATATCTATATAACGTACCTATATCTAGACTACATATCTAGAAAGAGTGAGAGATAATATAATTTTTTTGCTATAACTTTACAAAAATCCTAGTATTGTTTTACAGGTGATCATATTTTTATGTACTTTGTTCCCTGTGCCTCAGCATGAGAAGTAATTTGCACAGACATGGATAAATATGAGAGATTGAAGAAAATTGGGGAGGGATCCTTTGGGTTGGATTTTGTTTTCCCTTAATAATAAAAACCTTCATTTAAAAACTGCATGTTGTGTTCACTTGTGTTATCTTTTACTAATATTTAAATTTATTTGATCTGAAACATTGAAGTGTGACAAACATGCAAAAAAATCAGGAAGGGGACCAACACTTTTTCACACCACTGTGTATGTGTGTGTGTATATATATATATATATATATATATTTTTTTTTTAAATCTCCTATAACATTATAAATGTGTTTAGTGTCACTTTTGATCAATTAAATAATGCATGATTTTTTTTTTATGGTTTAAATCTCAAGAAGCCACCCAGGCTGTGATCTGAAACATTGCTGTTACTTTGTCATTGAAGTGCAATAATTTCTCTCTCTTTTTCTTCAGAGAGTGGTTGTTTGTACATAGTAATGGACTACTGTGAGGGAGGAGACCTGTTTAAGAAGATCAATAATCAGAGAGGGACTCTATTCTCTGAGGAACAGGTAAGAGGAACAATACAAAGTCTGTTAAGCTCTGCACCTGACAACAGGCTGCAAATTGTCTAAGCTTTAAAAAAAAAAAAAATTCTCACTCCTACAAAAGTAAATAGTATCTATTTAAAGTCATATGCACTCATATGGAATGAAGAATCCAGTCACATCAGCTGCTAATCTATTTTATTCTGCAGTATATAGAGTGGGACGCCTCACAGGGGTGGCATTGTTGGACCAGTCAAATACTACTTGGATATACCATTAAATAAAAAAAAATTATTAACTTTGAATTTCTTTTATCATAACAAAATAAAATATTCTTAGTTGTTGAATGTTAGCAAAAGCCCAATTTTCTTGCAAGAATAATCTTGCAATGTTATCGTCTGAAATACTGAACACTGTGTTGTTTTCTGGAAGATTCTTGACTGGTTTGTGCAGATCTGCCTGGCTCTGAAACACGTACATGACCGCAAAATCCTACACAGGGACATCAAATCACAGGTACGGCTGTCTCTCTCACACACACACTTGTACCAACATTTCTGTGGAACTACAGCATAATGTACAATATACTTTGACTTGGTTTACATATGCCTCTTACATGATTTTTGCTTTTGTTTTCTATCAAGAATATTTTTCTGACCAAAGATGGTACCATTCAGCTTGGTGACTTTGGAATCGCTAGAGTTTTGAACAGGCAAGTAATTGCAATTTGATTTCAAAACAGCATAAGGAATGTGGTGAGAATAACCTTCATATGTAATGTGGTTGTGTGTGCAGCACCGTGGAGTTGGCGAGGACATGTATTGGCACACCTTACTACCTGTCGCCAGAGATATGTGAAAATAAACCATACAACAACAAGAGGTAAATTACTTCCTGTTCTGAGCCAGGGTGGTATATATGGGCAGTACAGAAGCTACAGAGCACTCAGTGGCTCTTGTACAGTTTGCTGAATCATTATAGAGTGGTTATGTAAGTTTGTATGTGTTTATCTGATCCAAGCAGCTACATATTGATCCCAAGTCATTTGTTCCTGGACTGTTTGTAACTTGATCAGTCTGAATAATACCAGCTGTATTACATTACTTTTTAAAGGATTAGGCTCTGTAAGATTTTTTTTTTAATTAGTATAATTTTTTTTGAAAATTCCTTTAAGCTCACCAAATCTGTATTTATCTGATCAAAAATATAGTAAAAATAATAATATTGTGAAATATTTATTACTGCTTTCTATTTGTACATATTTTAAAATGTAATTTATTCCTGTGATGGCAAAGCTGATTTTTCAGCAGCCATTAATTACTCCAGTCTTCAGTGTCACATGATCTTTCAGAAATCATTCGAATATACTGATTTTGTGCTTAAGAAACATCGGTATTGAAAACGGTTATGCTGCTTAATATTTTTTGTAAAACCATGTTTATTTTTGTCCCCACAATTCTTTGACAAATATAATGTTAAAAAATGAGTAATGGAACTTTTTTGTAATATTAGAAATGTATTTATTTACTGTAATTTTTGATCAATTTAATGCATCCTTACTGAATACAAGTATTGATTTCTTGAAAAAATAAAATCTTACTGATCCCAAATGTTTGATTTTTGATAGAGTATGAATTGTAAAATTTCTTAGTATCAGAGTGCATACTGAGATACAGACATTAAATGACTTTGCTCACACTGCACAGCACACAAATCTTACTTGGTTTTCAATCCTGATCTTTTCAATTCCATCACATTCTGAATGATGAAATATAATATGAACATTTAGACTGTGATACATTAATTGGATTTTGAGCCACATATCGATGTGCATTGGTTTGGATTGTAAACATTAGATTTTGTGTAGTCCTTTGCAAAAAGAAAAAGAAAAATCAGATATTGTGCAAAGCCATGTTGTTTAATATTCAAATCACTTTAGATATTATATGCTGTTTGTTTGTGTATTTATGTTTGCATGTGCACATGTGGGAGTAATCCACATGTGCCACCCCAAAATTTACCCATTTGTCCCACTTTCTCCCTGTCTGTCTGCTTTGTTTTTTTGTCTTCTCTCTCTTTCTTTCTGCGTTGTTCTGTCGGGTCTGACCCTAGTGATATCTGGGCCCTGGGATGTGTCCTGTATGAAATGTGCACGCTTAAGCATGCAGTAAGTACCTCATGTTCTCAATAGTAGCTTTTGTGTGCAAGGGAGTTTTTGTGCTTATCTTTTGATGAGAACGATAAAACAGGACTATCTCCTTCATATCTTTTTAACCTTTCTCTGTATGTAGGTCTCATTTTCTCTCCCTCTTCCTCTCTCACTTCCCTTCTTTCATTATTTACACCATGAATGTTCTGAGGAGACTAATATTTTACAGTGGAGAGGCAAGTGAAACTGCAGCAGCTTTAAAAATTGAGATGATTAGCTGTGTGGAGATACTCTTTCCTGCTGAAGAGAAAATTCACTGTTGATTAATTTGAAAGTCTTTTTTTCTGTATTCTTTGATTATATTGTAGGTTTACGTGATTTATGACTTGAGTGAAGGTGGTATTATCATTTTATTTTCAAGTAGGACCAATTTTATGATGTCTTTCACTCAGTTTGAGGCCGGAAACATGAAGAACCTGGTGTTAAAAATCATCCGTGGTTCGTACCCGCCAGTTTCCGTGCATTACTCCCAAGACTTGCGCTCTCTCCTGGCCCAGCTGTTCAAGCGCAACCCCCGGGAGAGACCCTCCGTCTCAGCCATTTTGGACAAGCCTTTTCTTGCTCGCAGGATTCACAAGTTTCTCAGCCCTCAGGTGATGCATGCAAACAGACATTTATGGCAGTGTGATGAGTCTGTGCGCTGCCTGTGACTCAGATATAACTCCGATGTTATATAACGCTCAGGTCTAATTCCAGACCCAATCCCACGTGTTGAAGAATTTGTTTGTTTAGTATGTTTCCTTGTATATGTTGCAGATTATTGCTCAGGAATTCAGCCACTCACTTCACCTTAATCAGCCTAAAATGAGTGTGGCCCAGGGAGCACCAGGTAAACACATTCATTAATAACTAATATATTTGTTACCCTCTGGTGATGTTGTTGTATATATGGATTATTCTATTATCCTAAATTTAGGGAGAAAAATTACTTATGAATCATGGTATCCACTGATGGATGAGCAGTAGTCGAGTAGAGATGTGCCTGGAGTATATTGTTAAATTGTTCTCTTGATCTCCAAATACCAGAAATCCAGTTGTTCTGTTCCTCTTCACTCCCCAGCCAAACGCCCTGCCCCAGGCCCCATCCCCATCTCCCCAGCTCAGGCATACATACTAAATTGTAAGTTATGTCAAGGTATGTTTATTTTGTTTTGTGCCTGTAGTGTTGGTGATTGAATGAGTTCACATCAAGTTCAGCAGATGTTGGCTGTTCTAGTTTCATTAGTTGGATGGGTGCTATTTGTAATGTCTCTTGGGTAGAAAGACATTTTTAAAGCCTCTTGATAGAGTTAGTGACCCTTAGTAATTGTGTTTCTCTCTGTAGATTTTGTTACTGAAGGCTGCTCAGATGAAGAGATTTGAGAGGGAAAAGGTGAACTGATCAGTGCCCTTCTGCAAATGGTTATTTACAATAAATTGATGTTGGTTTCATTTGTTTATATTAAAACTTTAACTTGTACCTTTTTATTTTAGCTGTTCCGGATAAACCGGGCTCGAGAGCAGGGCTGGAGACATGTGCTCAGTTCCAGTGGAGGCAGCAGTCCTGAGCGAAAGGTACAATAGTCTTCCTTGTCTGCTACAGATTAGTCAATAAAGGGTGCTAATATTGTCAAGGTTTCTCATTCAGTGCATATTTTTGCATAGTTTTATGGAGGTGGTGGTGGCGGCGTTGGAGCACCACATTCCCCTGGAATAGGCCCATCCCCTGTGCCTGGCCCCACCCCTACTCATGCTCCTGTTCCTACTTTAGCTCCAAGCAGGGCTCCATATGACCATGTCCACACAGCAGCTGAAAAACCATCCAAACCTACACCTAAAGATGGGGAAGGAGCCAAGTCTTCAGGGGACAATGGCAGGTGAATGAGATGAATGAGAAAGAAACTGTGTAGTATGTTTCCTTGTATATGTTGCAGATTATTGCTCAGGAATTCAGCCACTCACTTCACCTTAATCAGCCTAAAATGAGTGTGGCCCAGGGAGCACCAGGTAAACACATTCATTAATAACTAATATATTTGTTACCCTCTGGTGATGTTGTTGTATATATGGATTATTCTATTATCCTAAATTTAGGGAGAAAAATTACTTATGAATCATGGTATCCACTGATGGATGAGCAGTAGTCGAGTAGAGATGTGCCTGGAGTATATTGTTAAATTGTTCTCTTGATCTCCAAATACCAGAAATCCAGTTGTTCTGTTCCTCTTCACTCCCCAGCCAAACGCCCTGCCCCAGGCCCCATCCCCATCTCCCCAGCTCAGAAAATCACAAAGCCAGCAGCCAAATATGGAGTGCCTTTAACAGTTCGAAGACCATCTGACGCCATCAGAAAGGTCCCGGTTGCAGCAAAGAAACCAGTCAAACTCAAGCAGGTGAGAACCATGAGAAATAAGGACCCCATGTATGTCATTGGCTAATCCACTCCTATGTTTTGCCCATACATTGTCACTCAGTATGTTAGGAGGGGCACTTGTGTAACATTCAGACATTTGTTGATGTTGTCCCGCTGTGTGCTATAAATGAGAGCGAGAGACCTCTGATCCACACCCCTCGGTGTCATGTGTTGTCCAGGCTCCCCCTCCTGCAGCAGCTCAGAGGAGAGTGAGTCGAGTGGAGGAGGAGAGGAGGAAGCATGAGGTACATTAGAGAGTGCCCCTATCTACAGACCCTTCTACTAACACCCAACCCTGATCCTCCTTTTAATCCACTTACCCCTGTGCAAATACATTTTGTCCTCCACCAAAAATGTTTGCCCTGTATGCCTCAAATAGGTTTACCCTTTGTATCATTAATATGTGCCATTTATTGGTCTGCTCTAGTGGTTAAAGATATGAGCTGCTATCAGAAATATTGTAATCTTTTTGCAAAGAATAAGTCCGTATCCGTATGGTGCCTATGAGCAGGACACTTATCCACAGGTTGGTCGAGCAGCACTATCACTGTGATAGGTGTACTTGTAGTTACTCTGGACTGTATCTCTTTTTTTTTTTTTCTTTCCCCTCTTTTTTTTGTTGTTGTTGGTGTCCTTCTGCTTCTCTCCAACTGCTGTCATTCATATGGTGGGCATCTTCATTTTTTTTCCTTTTCCGTCCCTTTCTTTATTAACCCTTTCACCAGTCCAGTGTTCATTCTATAAATGTGTCTAGAACTACTCGAGCCGCAAGATGCTAAACCGTTATTGTTCAACGACTGATCCATTTTGGGAACAAATATTCTTTCAAGATTATATATGGACGTTTGACTGCTCTTGCCTCTCTTTGCCACATGGAGTTGTACAAACAAATTTTTCTGTGTCCTCACTATTGCAAACAAGTAATGGGAAATACTGTTTGCATCATGTCTAAAAGCATCATGGTCATGTTCTATTTCAGGAAGGAGTGAGGAAGAAACGGATGGAGATGATGGAGAGGGAAAGGAAGCAAAGGGAACAGGTGAGCTATTGATGGTGTCTTGCCATGACATCATGTCACATGTTTTTTTACTATCCTGAATCTTCTTTTACAGTGATACAAATTATAATTTCAAATCATTATGTTCTTGTGTACTTTCTAATCATTAAATAATCCTATCCTAAGAAAATGCAGCACAACTGTTTTCAATATTAATAATAGTAAGAAATATTTCTTGAGCAACAAATCAGCATATTAGAATAGCATAAGAGACTTCTATTAGGATATATATACTTACATACATACTAAATTGTAAGTTATGTCAAGGTATGTTTATTTTGTTTTGTGCCTGTAGTGTTGGTGATTGAATGAGTTCACATCAAGTTCAGCACAAGTTCTGTTCTAGTTTCATTAGTTGGATGGGTGCTATTTGTAATGTCTCTTGGGTAGAAAGACATTTTTAAAGCCTCTTGATAGAGTTAGTGACCCTTAGTAATTGTGTTTCTCTCTGTAGATTTTGTTACTGAAGGCTGCTCAGATGAAGAGATTTGAGAGGGAAAAGGTGAACTGATCAGTACCCTTCTGCAAATGGTTATTTACAATAAATTGATGTTGGTTTCATTTGTTTATATTAAAACTTGAACTTGTACCTTTTTATTTTAGCTGTTCCGGATAAACCGTGCTCGAGAGCAGGGCTGGAGACATGTGCTCAGTTCCAGTGGAGGCAGCAGTCCTGAGCGAAAGGTACAATAGTCTTCCTTGTCTGCTACAGATTAGTCAATAAAGGGTGCTAATATTGTCAAGGTTTCTCATTCAGTGCATATTTTGCATAGTTTTATGGAGGTGGTGGTGGCGGCGTTGGAGCACCACATTCCCCTGGAATAGGCCCATCGAATGACTTACAGCCATAGCGGAGAAAAGAGTTTGTTTGAACTTTAATGTAAGGACTTAAATATGCATATGTAGCTCACATTAAGCTATCATATGGCTTCAGAAGTAACACAGAATAATTCGCTCAATCGAAAAGAAAAAAAAATCTCGGATTTAGATCGGCCCTCTCTGACCGATACCCGATCCGAGAAAAATGGCACTATCGGAGCCGATACCCGATATGAATATCGGATCGGCGCATCCCTAATTAAAATGTCATAACTTGATTTTCTGGTAAAATTATCTCTGGTGACGTATGCTGGACATCTCCAATTATTCTCCAGGCTTAAACCCTGCCCCTTTCTTACAATCAACCAAAAGCTCATATTCAGATCTGTTTTCATTCAGTCAACAACTGATGTATAGAAATAAGGTGTTGAACTCAGTGATGGAATTCCTAATACATTTAATTATGTGGCTTTTGTAATATCGGATTAATCAATGGGTGAACAGGGTGCTCGGCAAAACCTGGCCACCATCTTTGCAAGCTGGACAAACTCCTCCCGATGCAGGAGACCCCAAGTCAACAAAGAGGAGGAGGTAGGAGTCCTGTCTGGGACCAAACAACACTCCTCAATCCATCAAGTCACTTAAACTCTTCATTGTTTCGGTTCCTTATTTTAAGTTGTAAACGCCCACCTGATGTTGCTTCATCTGCTCACCAGTGCCATCTGATGTCCAGTACCTGCACAGTGTATGTTTGTTGAATGTGGCTGTGAAATGCACCGAAAATGTTCTAGTTCATTATTTCATTTCATCCAATACCACATTCTGGCAAAATTCCCCAATGCTTTTATTATCTTTTTTTTTGTGTGTGTGGATTTTATTCTGCTTCAACACCCCTTGTTTTGGGTCCCTCATAATTTTTTTCTATTTTTGAAGATTATTCAGTGTATCTGCAGGATCCCAGCTGAAGACTAACCACTGCTTTTTATGGTCCTCATCAATGAATGGCTTTGATTCTGCTGTAACTTTAAGTTTGCGGTTCCCACAATACAGTGTAAATGTTTAATGCTGGTTTTCTTTTCCAATGTATTTCACCAATTATATTTCATGTTCAATATACAATGTGTTTTGCCCCTGTTCTTATTTTTGTCGGAAGGAGACAATAGCTATGTTTCCATCTATTTTGGATTATCGCATAAAAAACCGCTGGATGGAAACGCCAAGATAAGATTTTTATGCACATTTTTAGAATTTATGCTTATGCGCACAACTGAGTAGGATAAACTTTTTATCCGATAAGAAAAAATGCACATAAACTACAATGGAAACACATTTACCAAATATATTCCACCATGCGCATTGAAAAAGTCATGTGACTTTTGGACTATGAGACGGGATAAATTGACTAACCAGCGGACCGATCTCGTTCACAGCATCTATATGTTGTTTTGGTCGTTCTGAAATGCCCGAGGAAAGTCTGTCATCAAAGTATTTCTGTATAATTACTGCCTTACATGACTGCATTCCCAAGCAGCAGGCATCCACCTCTAAAAGCAATGACCGCATTTATTGTGTTACATCTGCTCTCTCTGAAGCGCAAGTAATTTATTACATATGAAAATTATTATATTCAGTGGCTTCTCCTAGTTTTCTTAGAGATATTTAGTGCCAGTTTATCAGGAAATGTAGATTTAGTTCTCTTTGACTCATTGGATGGAAACTGTGCTTTATTTCGCAAATGTTTTATGCGATTTTCCAGTTTTGCGCACAAGTTAAATTTGCATCTTTGGATGGAAACCTAGCTAATGGGAAGAGAACAGAGAGAGATGATATGTGAACTGTGTTTTTCTCAGGAGTACTTGGCAAGATTACGACAGATCCGACTACAGAACTTTAATGAACGCCAGCAGATCAAAGCTCGCCTCAGAGGAGAGAAGGTATATGCACCCACGTATAGGCCCATTTGACATTTCTTTCAACTGTAGATTTGTTTTATCACACATTTTAATGCTTACTATTATTTATTCGGCTCCGCTTCAGTGCTTTTACACATCATTAAATAGATTTTTAAATGTATTTAAGTATTCATTTGTTATATTTGGACCATCTATCTCAGTATGACAGTGACGGGTCAGACAGTCAGGAGTCATGTGAAGAGGCAGTACTCAGGATGAAGAAGATCGAGGCTTTAAAGGTTTTGCATTTTAATTTTTTTCAAAATAATTTATCAGCATAATAATTTGAATTGTAAAATGGAATTATATACACTACCATTCAAATGTTTGGGGTTGGTAGGTATTTTTAAAAATGTTTTTAAAAGTCTCTTATGCTCATCAAGGCTGCATTAGTTTGATCAAAAATACAGTAAAAACCCTAATATTGTGAAATATTACTGCAATTTTAAATGACTGTTTTCTGTTTTAATATCTTTTAGGCAAAGCTGAATTTTCAGCAGCCATGTCTTTAGTCTTCTTCAGTGTCACATTATACTTCAGAAAACATTCTGATATGCTGATTTGGTGCTCAAGAAACATTTCTTATTATAATCAATGTTGAAATCAGTTGTGTTGCTTAATATTTTTGTGCAAACCATGATGCATTTTTTTTTTTTCAGGATTCTTAGATTATTCTTAAAAGGTCTTAAATGTATATAAGTATATGTCTTGGTATCAGAATGCAAAAGCAACCAGACTGTTATTTGAGTAAAACAGTTATCAAGAATGTGTGTTTTTATGAAAGGCCCAGTCAAAGGCTCGTGCTGCTGTAATTAAAGAACAACTGGAAAAGAAGAGAAGAGAAGCATATGAGAGAGAGAAGAAAGCATGGGAGGATCATGTATGTCATCTTTCTTTCCTAAACTTCTCCCCTTTCCTCGTTTCTCCTCCATCTCTTATGTATTTTATTGTGCCTTTTGTTTTGTCTTATCTTTTGTGACAAAGCAGCTTGTTGCACGAGGGGTGAAGGTTGCTGTTGGAGCTGTGGGCGGAGCTCCATCTCCTGCAGCCCCTGACTCTCAGCCATCTGACTCCACCCCTCAGGAAGATGCTTCCAAAGCCACTCCCTCCTCTAGACCCACCACTCCAGCCATCTCCATGACTGCTGCTCTGAAGGATGTGGGCGCGGTTAGTCACCCATCACACTGATTAAATCACCTTTGCTGTATTTGCTTAAATGGTCATCCAATGCTTATGCATTTTTTTTGGTAGATTTCATCAGGACAGAGTTCTCCTATGAAAGAGGACTCCCTTAAAGCAGAAACATCACGTGTACAGGTGGAAAATGCATATTAGAATATGTGAAATACCATTAATATGAGAGAGTGGTTTATTGAATGATTTGTCACTTCGACTATAGTGAGATTTTGTATTTTTTATATTTTTTTTAGAGTGACAAGAAGGAGATTCTTCGCCGACTTAATCAAAAGGTCCAGACCACTGAGGAAGATGCCACACCTTGCAGCATTGTACCATGCCCAACTCCTCAACAGATCCAGCCTTCCATCACAGAAGAAAGACCTCCTGCAGCTGGTGATAGGAGGAAATGGGAAGCTGTAGCTCCACCCATATTGTCTGTAGCCGAACAAACTCTGGAGGAGACCTGTGCAACTCTGGCAGGTATAAACACAACAATCTCATCAATGTTGTTGTTATTATTATTGCTGTAAAAACACGTGTGACTACATACATTTCTTTATAGGATATCTAAAGTCAAACCTGAGATTTTTTTTAAGACCTGCACAAATGCACCTAATGTACATACAGAAAAATTCCATACAATCTGAAAGCAAATCATGTGTCTCCGATTCCTTTACATAATTGAACAGGCTGTGGCACAAATCACATTTTACTTAATTAAACAGGCTGCTAATTTGCTTATCAATACAATAGGATGTACTGCAAGTGTAAAATGGTCAAGATGTGTTTTATTCATTATACACATGTTTTGAAATTGTTTTATGTACATATATATCAACACATGAATTATAGGTTGAGTAGTATTTTTTACTTTGAAATGTGCAGCCGATCACATTTAATTATTTAAACCTTAGCATTTGGAATTAATTTAATAATCACATTAGGCCATATCACAATTCCTGTTTTTCCATCCTCACATTTAAGACCTCTTGCATTGTTAATTAAGGCTTTATTATATAATTGAAGTCATTTTATGATATAAATTAAATTTGATAAAACTGTATTTATGACATAGAAATTGTTGTAGGTCAGTAATAAAAGATACCGTATCTTTTAGATATTTGCGTCATATGAGCAGCACTATGCACATTCTCTTTGTTTCCCCTCTCTTGTCCTATCTCAGTGTCTCAGGTGGCTTCTCCAGAGACGAATGCTCCCTCTGGTGGAGACAGGAAGAAGTGGCAGACTGATGGTGCCCCTCTTCTGTCTGTGGCTCAGCAGACTCTGGAAGAAACTAGCTTTACAACAGCAGGTCAGCTAATCATCCTGAGATTCTGTAGTTTATGCAGTTTTTGCAACTGATTCGACACATTTTTTTAAATCAAATTGATAGTTTATGTTTGATAAAACACAGAACAATTGTGGAAAAAGAAATGGTGGAGGTTGTCATCTTAGCCTACTAAGAAAATGTGCTCTGTGGCACAGGTTGTATAGACTCACAGATACCAACCTGACAAGTGACCAAGTTTCTTGTAGCACATTTGCAAGACTCTAATGAGAAGTGATTGTGCCAACAAGAATCAAAATATTGCAGCAGTGAAAAGCACACACCATCAGCTCTCATTACATCAGCATCACATATTCATAGTGCGTTCAGTTATGAAGGCAACATTTAGGTGAGCTATAGTGAGAAATTGATGGCTACAACAGGCTGTGGTGCACATTTGAATAATTTGACCTTTGTTTTTGCTAGGCTAGATGCAGAATAAAAGTAGTCAATGAATTATACACATCCTCCTTATTACTTCTAGAGTGAATAGATTATGTATTAGAGAGTTTTGTTTTGTAACCATGGATGGTGTGTTGTGTTACATGCACTGGGACTCCAGTCTCTCTATAGCAACTGGATTAATAACAAACAAGGCATTAGGTTATTTACTAGATCTCTAGTATTCTGTGCCCGGAGAGCAAAATCGTGTTGTTTCCATTGTATATAATAAAATGGGTGGCTTATTTATATGCAATAACATAATTTTTTTTTTTTAAACTTATTTCAGAAAAAACAGCAGGTGAAGTCATTTGCATGGATGATTGGCAGGGGGAGGGGCTAAGGAAGGCTTGGGGGCGGAGTCCAGACTCAGAGGTTCTGAAGGTGTTGGAAGAGGCAGAGCTCCAGCCCTTTACCCAGAAACTAGATCCCGCCAGCACCTGTGACCACACACTGACTGGTGAGTCTTTGATCCGAGTGTTTTTCATCTGTGTGATGTGTTCAGTCTTACTGACAATAGTATCCTGTTAATCCTGAGTTTCTATTTGCGTTTCTTTTCCCCAGAAAGCCTTAATCTTATTGAAGAGTCTTTAGATGTCACTCATGAAACCAAACAAGTGCCTCTTCCTCAGCCATGCCAGCCTGCCATTGGCCTTGCCAAACAAGAAGTGACATGTCAGGAGACAGTGCCAATCACAGCAGAGGTTAAAAGTCAGGAACTAATCCCACAAACAACAGAAGAGATTCAAAAGACTCCATCTGGAGAAAGTGAGACAGAGGGTGAGAATAGTGTTACACTGAAAATGAATGCAGTACTCTTAGCGAGATACCTTATTATTCAAGATTGAAATGTGTAGAAATTCAGATCATCGGTAGTGAGACCTTTTGCACTTGTTACTGTTTGTAACTAACATTTTTTGTCCTTCCAGTGGTGGATGATATGGAGTCAGTAGTTCTAGATGAAGCCTCTCAGCAAACCTCAAAGCCACCCCCAGCAGATGTAATGCAAGCATGGACAAATGACACTCCAATGTCTCCGTAAGCATTTTTTTTTTCTCACAGAATTTGACAACTGGTTGCCTCATTTTGGCAATAATATCTGTATCACTGTTAAAATGAATACAGATTTTTTCAAACTTCTTTCAAACCTGTGAAAGGTTTAATTTGCAGTGTTACTGCAAAGTTAGTATATAGCTGATCTATATATGTATATCTCTATAATGTTGAATTTAAAAAAAA